TGCTGAACTGGCATGCCACAAGAACTGGGAAAGTAACCTAGAAAAGGTAAAGCCATTCCTCAAGTGTGTCCTGTGGTGATTTTATCTGAGCTCCTTTCTGATGAAGAACGGCAGGGGAATCGCTAGTATATTCTCAGATTCGGAACTGGCCTTGTGGGAAAACACTCCTCAGGTATTTATGCAGCTTTTCCTCATGCTGTTTTCAAGGAGGGAGTTAGGTTCTTTGAAATATTGGCTAAAGACACAGTTGGCTGGCTAAAGAAAGTCTTTATTTAGGTGCCTTTTTAGTAAAGTAGAAATAAGTGCTATATGCCTTTAAACAGAAGCACAGTAACAGCAAATAGAAAATAGCTTTTACTCTTATGTAATAAGTTATTCTCAACCCTAGAATCCTTTGTTGTTTGGCATTGAGGCTTTTCATGAATGAGATCTCTTTCAGGAACAAATGGCTGTGATTTGCTACGGAAATCTGAATTAGACAGATCACTTGTTTGTTGTGATTTGACAGTCCTTCTCATCTGATCCTGTCCCCAGACAAGGGGACAAGGTAGTTTAGAAAGCAAAATCCTAACCAGGAAGATCATCCCAGCTCAACTCTTACAGTTTTGTGTGTGGCTTATGTCTTAGAGAAAATACTTATTTGGGTATTTTATGTGAAAGTATAAAAATACTTGATTTTTGTTAACCTGAGTTTAATAATTTTACTTTTACAAGTTTTAAACTTGTATTTGTCTTATTTTTGGTTATCATGTTCTTTTATAAAATTTACCTTTCACTTAGATTTTGTGGTAAGTTTTTTGTTTTTAAATCGTTTTTTCTATAGGTTGCCTGGCGTTTGTAGGAAGGACTGAGAGACATGGAGAGAGCGAAAGTCACAGGGCAGGTGGGGGGCTAGTGGCCATGATGCATTCCATTCTCCTCCATTCTCTCCTCAGGATTTTGGGGACACACACACACATGCGCCCAGCGTTTGTTTCGATCTGTGGGGTCCGGGACTCAAACCACGGTCAGCCACTTGGAAGTCAAGCACCTTAACCACTATGCCACCTGCTGACACACACACACACCGTGATAAAGTTTTTTGTTGTTTTATTTGTAGCCTTTTATGGAGTAGTAAGCACGTGTTTTTATGAGGAATAAATAGTAAGATGGGACTAGCAGTTAGCGTAATGGCTATGTCACTGGACTCCCACGTAGTCAACCGCGGTTCAAGTCCCGGACCGAGTGGCTTAAACTCATGCCGGGCACATGTGCATGTGTGTCTAGGATCCCGAGAAGAGAATGGAGGAGAAGGGATTGCGGCGTGACCATCCGCCCTGGGGAGTGATTTCTCACTTTCTGTCTCTCTGTCTCTGTCTGTCTGGCAAGCGCATGTGCCCTATAGCAAAAACCTCTCCAAAAAAAAAGAAAGAAAGAAAGAAAGACAGAAAGAAAGAAAGAAAGAAAATAGTAAGCTCATTATGTTATTTTAGAAATTTGAGAAATTGACTTAGTTATCAGGTCTGTGCTTCTATCAGGATATCTTTTCTGTCCTTAGTAATGTCTTAATAAAAATATTTATTCTGTAATTTTTTGTGTTTGCACTAGAAGTTTCTAATCTGAAATGCTGTAAACTGGTTATTTCATTTTTAAGCCAACTGGGAGAATAAAGGTAGGAAAAGAACAAGTTAGGTGTTCTTACTCGGTCTTCCTTAGAGGAGTTTTTATTTAGTTCCATCCCTCTGTGGCTCATTATTTGTCCTAAAGTACTTCAGAATCTACAGTGGAACTAAGTAGCCCTGGGACCTTCAAGAAATTGAAGGCTAACTGCTCCCTTCTAGGTTCCAGAGCCCGTCCAGCTGTCATTGTTGGTGAAAGCTTCAGGAGACCAGAAACTTTCTGTGGCCTCCGAAACAGGGTTCCAGAACCATTTGTTTTTTCCTGTAGTAATATATTTAGTGTTAAAATTAGGTTTTGTTTTCTTAAGGTGGCTTATTTTCCATGTGCATTTGCTCTGTTTATTTCTATCTCTCAGAAACAGGCCACAGTAAAGAAACCAAAAAAGAAAAATCACGGAGCCAGCAGTTGGCATAATGGCTATGTTGCTGGACTCCCATGTAGTTGACTGCAGTTTGAGTCCTGGGCCCGGTGGCTTAAACTCACACCAGGTACATACCCAAGATCCTGAGAGGAGAACGGAGGAGAAGGGATTGTGGCATGGCCATCCCCTCCGGGGGGTGATCTCTCGCTTTTTGTCTCTCTTTTTCTTTCTTTCTGGCGAGTGCACTGTGCCCTATAGCAAAAACCTCTCCAAAAAAATGAAACAAAAAAGAATCAGATGAAACAATGTAATGTAAAAGAAGATTGAAGAGATCCAAATGTTAGATGTTTTCTGTCTTCGTGTTTAAACATCCCCAAAGCAAAGTGGCTTATTATTATCAAAATGTATTTTTTCCTTAGGGTTTGTGTGTGTTTGTGTGTGTGTGTATTTTTTGTAAGAGAGATTTTTGCTATAGGACATGCACGCTCTCCCGTAAGACAGAAAGCAAGAAATCACCTCACCATGGGAGATAGCCACACTGCAGTCCCTTCTCCTCCGGTCTCCTCTCAGGATTTTGGGTACACACATGCACGCATGCACGCACACACTCACCCAGCGTGAGTTTCAAGCTTCCGGGTCTGTGACTTGACCCACAGTTGACTAAATGGGAGTCCAGCAGTATAACCATTACATCATCTGCTGGTTCCTTTTCTTTAGTTTTAAAGGTTAGCTGAGCCATTTTAAAATGTTCTTTCATAATAATACGAAGACCATTTCAAAGGTAATGTTGAAGCTAGCACATGGTATGGTGGTTAAGGCACTGGACTAGCACATGGCCAGCCACGGTTCAAGTCTTGCACCGCTGGCTTGAAAATCACACTGGGCACATGTTAATGTGTGCCCAAAATCCCAAGAGGAGAGTGGAGGAGAAGGGCTTGAGCATCCCCCCAGAGAGGTTCTCACTTTGCCTTTCTCCCTCCAGCAAAAGCATGTGCCCTATGGCCAAAAAAATGGGGAAATCTTAGAGAGTAAGTAGTTTTTCATATAATGAAATCTATACTTAAACTATATCACATACCAAATTATCTTTTTATAAATCACCTCCTAGGGAAAGTTTTCTCACAGTTTCTTTGACTTTGTTGGCATATACCAGTAGGTAATACTGAGCAATTTTGTTGTATTTCTGCACATGATATAAATTTGTGCACATTATATAATAAATAATGTATCTGGGGGGCCAGCTAGTGACATGGTGGTTAAAATGGCTGAATCTCACATGACTTACTACATGATTCTAGTTCTGGACCTGGTGGCTTGAAACACATGCTGGATAGATACGAAATCAAGTCCAAAATCCTGAGGAGAAAGGAGGAGAAAGGATTGTGGCTTGATTGTCTTCCCTGGGGAGTGCTTTTTCACTTTCTCCCTCTCTATTCTTTCTCCTTCCTATGCTCCATGTCTCTCCAGCAAGTGCACATACCCTATAGCAAATTTTAAAAAATGATAATAATAATATATACTACTCATATAGAATTCAATGTTATTGCATAACTAAAGCTTTACTGCTCTAAAATTTGTTTTATAAATGTTAGGAGTGATAACAAAAAGTTGAAACTGACCAACGAGGAATTTAAAAATATGACAGATATACAAGGTTAAATATGCTAGCTTTTAATATGTGTGTGTGTATGTATGTATTTGGGGTGTTTTTACCATAGGGCATGTGCATTTGCCAGAAAAAAACAGAGACAGTGAGAGGGAAGGTGAGGAATGGCCATGTTGCAGTCCCGTCTGTAGTCTACTTCTGTGATTATTTTGGGCACACACACGCATGTGCCTGGCATGATTTTCAAGCTGCTAGTTCCAGGATTCAAACTGTGGTCAGCCGTGTGGGAGTCCAGCACCTTAACTACCACACCACTTGCTGGCCTCTATACTAGCTTTTTAAATGAAATGAGAATGCAGCTGTTTTCCCCATGGGAAACTCAAGCAAAGAGAGATTTCACTTACCCACGGTTATGATAGCTGAAAAACAGGCATGAAATAATAACTGCCAAGATTTTATCTATGTAGTTTAGTGAAGTACCCTAATTATAGGAATTATTAAAAGTTTATTTAAAGTGAACAGAAGGGTCGGCAGGTAGTATAGTGGTTAAGGGCGCTGGACTCCCACATGACCGACTGTTCTTTGAGTCCCGGACCTAGTGGCTTGGTTTCTCACTTTCTCTTTCTCTCTCTCTGTCACTTTCTGGTCAAATTAGATAAAGTTAAATAAAATAATTCTTAAGTAAAATAAATAAAGTGAACAGAAATACAAAATATCATCAGAGCATACTATGAGTGACTATATGCCAACAAACAAAAATCTAGATGAGATGGACAAATATCTCAACACGTGTAACTTACCAAGACTGAACTGGGAAGAAATAGAAAGTCTGAATGGACCCATAACAAGCATTGAGATTGAATCAGTAATAAATAGACTTTCAGCAAGGAAGAGCCCAGGTCCTGATGGCTTTACTTCTGAATTTTACAAAACCTTTAAAGAAGAACTAACCCCAATTCTCCTTAAACTATTTCTAAAAATTCAAAAGGAAGAAACCCTCCCAAATTCATTCTATGAAGCCTCCATTATCTTAATACCAAAACCAGACAAGGACATGACAGGAAAAGAAACCTTCAGGCCTATATTCCTGATGAATATGGGTGCATAAATTCTCAACAAGATACTAGGAACTTGTACTTAACAACATATTAAAAAGATTATACATCATGACCAAGTAGGGTTTATACCAGGGATGCAAGGAGGGTCCAATATACACAAAACAATAAATGTAATACATCACATTAACAAAAGGAAAGCTAGAAAA